ACTTGAAGGCGCCTTAGATCTTCAGACCGAAGTGGCCAAGTCTCACTACCATACAGCAGAACGGCCCTCACTGTGGCCTTGTATACACGGCCTTTAAGACGGAGGGAAACTCCCTTCTGTCGCCAAAGATGCCACAGGTTCAAGTAGGCAACTCTGGCCTCTGCAATGCGTGAGGTCACGTCAGTTTCTATGCGCCCATCATTGCTGATGCAGCTGCCAAGATAAGTGAAACGATCAACCACATCAAGTTCCTCGTTAGCAAGCGTCAAGGGGTCATAAATTGGCTGGTGGTCCTGCAGCAACACTGCACTTTGGAAGTGCGAAGTGCATACCAAATAATGGGACCACTCTGGACAGGCTATTCAGGGTTGATTGGGCCGTCGCAAAATCGTCGAAAAGCAAGAATATCGTCCGCATAATCTAGGTCAACTAACCTTTCACCAGGTAGCAATTCAACGCCTACATCGGTGGATTCCGTCAGGGAACACTCCATGATAGAATCCACCATGAAATTGAACAGAAATGGGGAAACCGGACAACGCTGACGAACGCCACTTGTGGTCGGAAAGCTAGCCGATAGGACACCGTAAACCCTGACGCGGCCTGTAGTATTCGAGTATAGAGCACGAAGGATGTTCACATATTTCGTGGGAACACCTTTCCGCGCAAGTAATTCGAACAGAAACGATCGATCGACTGAATCGAACGCACTCTTGAAATCGAGGAACACAGCTATTGTCGGTCTGCGGTATGCGTGGCGTTGCTCTAGCACCTGCCGCAACCACCACGTCCTGGGCAAAAACCGGCCTGCTCTTCCCTAATCCGAGATTCCCGTTCCAAAGTGAGGCGACGAACGATAATCGAGGCCAGTAATTTTGTCACAACTGGCGTTAGGCTAATACCCCTATGATTCGCGCAGTCTGTGCGACTGCCCTTCTTGTATATTGCCACTATAATCGATTCGCTCCAATTAGCCGGGACATTCACTTCGTTCCAGATACGTTCGAATAGGGTCAGTGCTTTGCAGAGGACCTCCCCTCCATCCTTAAATAGTGCAGGTGGGAGGGAATCCGGGACAGCGGAACGAAAACGATTGAGCGCTGTGATCGCGTTTCGGACCTCGGCCTCCGACGGAGGCTCTAAACTAACCGTCCATGGGTCGTCCTGCCTCACCTGAGTAGAAAGAGGTCCGGGAGCAAGGGGCCAGCTGAACTGATCTTGAAAATGTTCCGCCCAACGAGTCATACGGCACTCCTTATTGTGTATCAGTGCACCCGCGCTGTCTCTGATTGTCTCACTGACGCCTGGTTTTCTGGGACCAGTGGTGCGGATTAGCTGGAAGAGCTTTCGGCAATTGCCTACTGCTCCTGTCTCCTCCATTTCTTGAGCCCGACTGGTCCACCAGGCTTCCTTGTCAGCACGTAGGCTCCGCTTTAGTTCACGCCTAATAGCCCGTCTGGTCACATTGTGTTCAGAACTAGCCGGGACGTGTCTTCTAGCTTCCAACAGGTTAACCGACCTTTCGGATATTCAGTGACTATTGCGGTGACGATGGATAGTGCCACAAGCAGATGCTCCTGCGTCGTGCATGGCAGCCGAGATTTTATACCACTGAAGTTCAGTGTCAGCAGGACAAGACAGCCAGAGTTCAGTACGCAGTGTGCCTTGATAGGCTTGCCTGACCGAGGGCTGGGACAATTTCTCCGTTGCGAATCGGACGAGACGCTTTGTGCGACTTCCGGTAAAGTTCATGGAGAAACGACAGCGCACCAAGGCATGATCAGAGTCGACACAGGTACTCCAGTACGAGCGGCAATCCAGAATGGAACCACGCCATCTGTAACTTATGGCTATGTGGTCAATTTGGGTCCATCGCTGGCCAGCTACAGCCTTATCTTTACACGATAGCCAGCTGTTTGTGACGGAATGTTGTCTACACAAGGTGTAGGCGCCTTGACCCTGAATGTTTGCTTAGGGCATTAAGGTTTTCAGGTAAGTCCCCCTTCTCTCCCTCTTCTTATTTTTTTATTTCATGGGTCCTCATGGTTGTATGGCAGCGAAGCATCAGTTCAAATGGCTGATGTACTGCTGTTGATGATGAGCTACAGGTGGACGCCAAGTGGCACTTCGGCGCCCACTGTGTCTAAAATTAGTGCTAGTAAGAAACAACTGGTGCTCCGCACACAGTTGCAGCAGACGCTAACCGTTGTCAGTCCACTCGGAGTTAAGTCCATAATTAGCACCCAGCTGGGCTTCTGAAGAGCTCAGACGCCCTACTTGTGTGTTCATATCCTCTGCAAGTACTATAATATCTGAACTAGTAGCACTGCGTAGTAGCGCGTTCAGTTCGTGATAGAAAGTGTCCCTGACTGCATTAGAACTGCAGTCGGTGGGGGCATAAACGAAAATCACAAACAAACAGCGTTTTGTTTTACTTCGTGAATTCACCTTAGCTGATGTCGTCAAACGGGCTGCACATAAAAGGCTGTTCACCGGAATCCAATCAACCAACGATGGCTCAGCCTTGGAGCTTAGAATGATACCTACACCAGCTTGACTCGTGAGTGCTGCATCGGCGTCTCCGGATGCATGCAACCAATAACGAGAGGATAAGCCGGGTGCAGTCAATTCAATAACCCCGTTAGGATCACTGATCTTAGTTTCGGACACACAACACGCACCAACACCCAGTGTGTCCAAGGTGCGCGCGAGTGCAGCCTGTTGACCTACTTGTCTTAGAGTGCGGACGTTGGACGTCGCCATGGAAACGGGACAGCGTGGCCTTTTAAGGGAATATTGCCGATAGGCGTCCGATAGGTGCTGTGGGATGGTGGCTGCAGATGGTTCTACTCCAATAGCACTTCGGTTGCTGTCAATTAAGCTGGGAATTATTGAAGGAAGGTTAGTAATGGGGGTCGGGATGGGAGTAAGAAAAATGGGTGGAAAAGGAGGCGCCAGCAGTAGCATGTTTTCGCATATCCGCCCTGCTGTATGCAGCAGATAAGGCGACCCTTGATAATCTGCGCGACGGTCGATGCAGGATGAAGTTTATGTTTGAAGAAATTGTCATGGTTGTATGTAGGCTGAGATACTGCCAGGGCGCCCAGACCTAGACAGGAGGACGATTAGGGTCCTCATCCAAAGCCTTTGGCTCAAAAGCCTGTCCGCAAGGCAGCGGGGAGGTGGCAATGATTTGGGTTTACAGAAATGGACGCCATCCCATTTCAAACCCCCAACCTGGAGGACCATGAGACTGAGTTTGTCGGACCTCTCACCAGTGACCAACCTGGTAGGAGTAGCTCTCAAGATGCTCGGAGAAATCACGCAGTATAGCTCAATATGTCAATGAGGTACGCAAACCGTCGCAACACGTTAAGGTCCAGTCTCGTTGCGACGGAACACTGCTGGACACAGAAGATGAAATCCGACCTCTCGAGATGAAAACGAAGTGCCCGTTTCAGGAACCGTTCCATGAGTTTGCAGAAAAAAATGAAAAAAAATGAAATGTGTCAGCTTATACGCCGTAACGGCGCTTCGCTGCCGCGCGACCACCACCGGTTGCACGTGGGCTAAGGATACTGCGAGGGTCACCCTACCCCTACGCAGGCTCGAACACGCGTCGCAAGATCATGAGACAAGCTGGTTACCTCTAGACTACGGGCCGGTTGTCCTGGGATGACGAGAATCGACCTCCAGTGGGTTCTCGGTTTTCCGAACTGCGCGAAAATCCATGATATGAAGGTCTCTCACCACTCGCCAGACGGGTTCTCAGCTACTCAACAGCACTTTCCATTTCGATCCCATCCTCCGGGGAGATATCTACCAACACATAAAATGGCTCGCGTTTAAGATGTGGGGTCCGTCGGAGAATGCGCCGACAATCTTCCTCGTCTTGGCACACAACCATAAGGAGCTAAGCCTTGGGTGAATCTTCTTGTTTCCCACCCAAGCGGAAGGCCGAGATAATGCTTATGCCCTGTACGTCTTCGTCGAATAAAACGGAGATCAGCCGTTCAAGGATCACTTGGTCGTTTAACATTCCTCCGACTGAGATATCTTTGGTTGATTCAGGCGCGTTCATGGTCGACATCGACCGCGCGTGGTTGGGCACGTCGGAGGATCTGTGTTTGAGAAGGAGTTGCGTTCTTTGACCAGCGCTTCCAACCGGTTAATTTTGGCAAGAACAGATTTAATCTGGGACTGAGATAAAGAAGGAGTGGATGTGGACTTACACTTCGTTTTAGCGTTATACTAGCCGGGATCGATACACAAGCTGTGGTGCTTTCCCCTACAACGAAAGCATACGTCTTGACCTCACCTTGATGGACGTATGCGAATGGCTGCGAGTAAGTCAGACGGCATGTGACTTCCCTTACCTGCGGGATGGGGGTAGGTGCGGAGGAAAAGTGGGAGTGGCGGGTGCTTTGGGAATCGTTGGAGGGGGTGAGGGCTAAGCGAGGACAGTGCACCCACAACATGTTGTTTAACAAGGTACGGCAGATATTACAAAGGACAATAATAGCTGGAGAGGTCATCAGCTGTAGGGATTTGTACTGATCAGGACCGATGTCACACCAAGCAATATGCACCCACCAGAGGTAACACCTTTAGCACAGAACAAACATTTGGACGCCATGGAAGATATACACCAAATATTCGACATGTGATTCTTCAGAAAACGATCTCGATTTGCCTTCCCCCATTCAAAAGGCTTTAGTGGAACGGACTGCGCAGAGTTGACAGCATCTAGACCATTTCTTAGAGTAATCCCATAAACTAGACTCGGAGATAAATCATACACATTATATAATGCAGCGCCCGCAGTGACTAAAAATCTAGACATCTGAACAGAGAGAGAAGTATACGCGGTGACGCGACAAAAGTCTCCGGATAAATGAAAAAAAACAAACGAGTAGCATAGTGATCGCAGGAGTAATATAAGGACACAAATGAACAAAATAGTTAACACGTGATGAAATAATAATAACGCAGTGACGTACGCGGAAGTGATTGCACGATATCGCTCCTGACCTGCAGTATCCCATATCTGCGCCTTAATAATTTTTCCTTTTATAGGAACGCTCCTGAAAAGATTACAGTGATATGTGGGCAAACCTGGTGGCGAATTCAACACCAATGGTGCTTTTGCTTTCTAGATTAAACTCCTTCCTGGTAAACCTTGACAACAGATTGCTCTTTCCAACGCCTGAATCACCTATGAGAACCACTGCGAGGTTGCCCAAATCTTAGCTGCAAGTACCTTTGAAAAGATAATCGTATTCCTCATCGCGAGGGCTAAACGCGGAGGCAGAATACATCCGTCAAATTTGATTTTCAAGTAGCAATGCACTAACAGAGGAGGGTACAAGTTTGAGTTCAGGTGGAACTGGAATGATTGGATGAGTTCCGTAAGTGTTTCTTCTTGAGCTGATCGTCGAGACAAGAGTAGATAGAGGCGCTCCGACTTACAGATGGATCTAAAAGAAAAAATCCGCAAATACACTTCGGTTCAACAATTTAGTGCCCACGTTGCTTACGTCAGCTATCCCTGTTAAGTGAAATAAGTAGGAGAGAGAGAAACAAATCGAAGGTAAAGTGTAAGAGCAATCAGTCAAAAGAAGAGGACGATACCAATGGTGAAGGAAAGTTCAAAAAAGATAATCGAAGTAGGAAGATAGGAATTAGCAAGGATAAGGAAATATTTCGTGTTGCCACCCAAGAACATCTAGTTGACACTCAAACCACTTAACCGTAGCTTGATTGACAACATTTTCTGGAAGCGAGTTCCAGCGCTCAATGACTCGACGCGATAACCGTGTCTTCTCTGTAAATCGATTGGACCGCGGTTTGTCTAGTTTCATACAATGCCCGCGGAGGCCAGAAAATCTAGCAGGACTAAATAGCCAGGACAAACCTGGGCCAACCTTCTCCGGCAAAATACGGTAGGGTACCACAAGTTCAAGTTCGTTTGGGACTGCAACAATAGGAAAATCCCGCGCGTGTTTAATCTTGGGTGGATCCTTGAGCCAGCAATTCATGAAGTACTCAGTTATTGATGGACCCGAAACGGAACACCTGTATCGCACCCTGCCCAATCAGTTAATGTCCACGTTTCCTGCCGTAGCAGTCCCAGCTGTGGCAATCACTAAGAAAAGCTTATGAATACTAATCGCGGGTACCGCATAAGAAAGTGCAGTTAAATTAAGAAAATAATACCAATGCATGAAGAACGGTGGAGAAAAGAAAATCGTGGTTTGATACCGCGAGTAAGTCAGGAAAATGGAAGTGTTTGTATTGCCGTCCAAGAGCGTCAAGTTGCCGCTCAAACCCTTTAACCGTATGTTCCCTGATAACACTTTCTGGATGCATGTTCCAGCGCTGGATGACTCGGCGTCACTGCCGGGTTTCTGCCGTAATCTGATCGGACCGCGGTTTGTCCAGCTTCAAGGAATGGCCGCATAAAACAGACCGTCTAACGGGACTGAATAGCCAAGTTACACCTGTACCAACCTTCCCAGTTAAGTTACGGCAGTTTAGGATTGGATCACCTCTAAACCTTCAGTAGTGCTTTGAATGCATTCCCAAACTAAGTAGGCGTTGGGGTATGTCCAACTCCGTACTCCCCTAACAAAACTTGTGCCCACCCGTAAACCTTCTTTAGCTCCATTTTGTCCAGGGATGAGGCAGGGCGGACAAGCTTGGACGCAGTGTTTCAGATGAGGCTGTTTACGAAAACCGAGAACAGTCTTCTAAAGCTACAGCCCTTCTAGACTCCGAAAGAACGTCGTACTAACCACAACCTGCGGAAACTTCTGCTTGCGGCCTTCTTACAGTTGTTGCCGGAGTGTAAAGTCGAAGATATACCTAGCTAGATACACCGCGGCGTCAGACCCCACCGACCAATTAATTCGCAGGAGTATGACTTCCTCCAATTTGAAGCATGGAGCTATTTGCCTGACTTATGGGCAATAACCATAAGGTAGGTTCGTACCAAAGCTTATCCAATGGCTGCTGAAAAGCTTCGGAACCTCCACAAACGTCGACAGCGTTGCACAGCTTCAGGCCATTAGCCAATATCAACGATGGTACCTCGAGCTTTGCGCCTAGACCATTCACACAGATGGAGATCAGCAGCGGTCCAAGAATGGAGCCCTGCGGCACGCCACGGAGGACGTACTGCCTAAAAGCTAATCCACGGCCTACTCTTTTACCTTGTTTTCTACCATCCTAGAAGGCAGTCAACTTCAAGCGGTACTGGAACGCTAGGATTTTCCCGTGTGCTCCTTCTCCAGCGGGTAGTTGCACGACGATTTGACAAAATTTGAAACACTGATGAGCCTAAAACAAAGACCACATCACACAATGTCCGACAAATTAATGCCCAGGTCTCCTGCTCTAGCAGGACTTGTGGGGCTCGTTAAGTAATTTAAGAGAGCATAAAGTGAACTCAAAAGGCTAGCAGCGAAAGTGAAAAGATGTAAGGAATTAGAATACCAAGACCTTTGTATAGTTAAAAAAGTCACTTTAAGGTGAGGGTGAGTCAGTTAGGAAAAAGGAAATTTTTGGTGTTTCCTCCCACGAGCATCAAGCTGGCGCTCAAAAACTTAACCACATGGTATCTTAACACATGGGCTGAAAGCTAATTCCAGGTGTCTATAGCTCGGAGCGACGGACGCGTTTCCGTTCTTATCTTTTCAGCCCGTGTTTTACTCGATTTTGGTGGGTGCTCGCGATTAGATAACATAGCGGGACTAAATAGCCCTGCCAATTCCTGGCCGATCTTACTTTTTACAGTAAGATTTTGGAAATCAGCTTCCATTTTCTTGCTCGGTAACGCAGGCGGTACATCTCCAAACAAGGCAAACTTTCTGGATAGTCTGTCCCCTTGTTCCCACTCGTAGCAGCCTATCCAATTCCATTTTGTCTTAGACAAGACAAGGTGGACAAGCCTGGATGCAATAATCCAGGTGGGGTCGGACGAATGCCGAGAATAACTTCACGAGCAAATGGGTTGTTAGAACTCCCAAACTGGGGCGGATAAACCACAGTATACGAAACCCCCATAAGCAGCCTTCTTCCAGTCGTCACTAGGACGAAGTGCCTATGGGTGTACGACCCCTAATACAACCTGCTGAGTGACAACTAGGATCCCACCACCATCCACAAAGTATCGGGTTAGAGGATTAGTAGTTCCGATTCGGAGAACAGAGCTCTTGGCCCTAATTATGGGAATCAAATTTATGGTACATCTTCCCAGAGCCTGTCCAAGGCACCCAGGATGTTCTAACTGAAAAGAACATGGTTCTGTTTGGGCGTTAGCCTGCTAGTTTTCTAACCAATGGAAATAAAGCAAACACTTTTTCACACTAAAAGCTGATCGCATATAGTTGTTGGTAGCAGTCTATTCTATTGGTCCCTAAACTGCTCCCTAAACTTGCTAGACTTATAATTTACTCTCCAAGCGCTTACTCTCATTCTAAGCAACCAGACTAACGTGGTTTGAATCCTTAAAGCGACAGTTTTTCTACTCTGGTAACCTCCTAAACACATGATATTACTACGTAGTGAACATTAAGGCTGGTCTATTTTGAACCGCCGCTCCTAAAATCACTCATTCTATGTTCATTTCTGGCAAATTGACCTAGTATCACAAGCTGTGTTGGAAGTCTTCAAACCGACGAACGCGCTAGCCAAATGACATCTAAACCTTTCTGGCTAGTTTTTGGTGCGGATGCAAAGATTTGCTTGCACTAAGAACCAACTGAATTATATTGTTCAACTGCAATGCATACGCACTAAACATAACACCCTGTGCTGCTAGGTGCTTTAGGCAGCTCCTTAAGTGTATCTATGCTTTCAAGTTCGCTTACGCGTTAGTGACAGTGGCTGTTATGCTCCAGGATGACAAGGTTTTTCATTGAGCTTCGGCTATCATATATCATAAATCCACACTCAAAGCTCCCACAATGTTGCTGCTATCCACGCACTCTTCAATTCTTTAATAGACTTATGAACTTCCAGCAACGTTGTTATAACAAGTATCGAAGAATTCCTGTGGCCTCCATCCGCCTAGATATAATTTATCCCTATCTAGCTAGCATTCATGCTAGCTTTTTGTGTCACTTCTTTAGTCGCCATAGTATTTTCATCTCATTGTTCCTGCCTCGTATTCACATGTTAGCCCAACAGTACCCGCTTCAGTAAATGATTCTTACTGAAGTAAGTATTGCCCGTAAGCGTAGCTAATTAAGAAGATGAAGTTGCCACAATTACATGAGTATTTAGACACATTATTAGCGTGTCCAACGCGGTTCTATTTCTCTTTCTTTTGCTTACTTGCTACTTTTCCTTGGCCTAAAAAGTAATTAAATGTGTACACGCACAGATGATACCAAAGCCTATATATCTAGGAAGCTTGTCATTTACTTGTGGCTGATAACTTTTATCTTACGGAACAAGTATACAGTTACAACTATTAAGCAATATTTTACATACTTGACATGCGACTGCCTTCCTTTATCCATTGGACGGATAACACTCCGGGCCTGGCTCCACTCTAGCCTGGTCTGACCAGTCTCCTATTTTCTGACTGTTTCCAGAAATCAGGGACGCACGTGTTCCAGGCTGTGCAGTCACAACACACCCTGTCCCTCAGCCTAAGAGCTTCGTTTGATATGCTAACAGGCTTTTTATATAGCCTCTGTAGTCCCGCAAATTTACTTTCTCGCGACATTCACTACTGTTATCCCCACTTTAATCTGACTGCCTAGCTACATCTTGCTGACTTATCCAGTCTCATCTAAACGCTCTTTTGCTTTCTGACCCCTCCCCAAACACTCCTGCTTCATCTCCAATCTTTCATTCTTTACTGATCCGTGTTCCGCGCGATTCTCGTCGTATTTCGCCACTTATGATATACGTGTATATGCGATATTTAAATAACAATTACATGCATAGTGGTACAATAGTTCAGGCATCGCCGCAATTGATTGACTGCATTCCAGATGCATTCCTTTCTTCTGTTTGTGTGGCTGTCTCTGTTCGTTTCCTTTTTCTCCCGAGTCTGTCACGGGTACGGCGACACGCACCCAAGGAATTGTCCTCCGTTTCGACAACAATACAAGGCACACAGTTCCTCTACCTGGACATGAGCGGAAAATTATCAACTTTTTTACAACTTACTAACTGGACAAATCAATCAATTCTTCCGCGGCATGAACCACTGAGTCCAATTTATCTAACAATACCTATTCCACATATCTCTTGACTGGAGGACTTTCGACTACGGAAGGCACATTCTTCTGCCAAGACAAAGCTTGAACAATCGGTCATTCGAAGCTCTTCAATTCGCTTTGACCGCTCAAATGGCCGTGGTTACCACAATCTCTAATCAATTTCGCTACATACCCCGGGGGATCTGTGATTCTTTCTTCGGAACCTATCCTGTCCTCCAAGACTTCAACATATTTCAACGTATATTCTTCGAGGCTTCACGTGGTTCTGCAGATGATCAACACATCAAATCCAGAAAGAATGCTTAGTTCCTGACCT